GCGACTGGTGCGGTGACGATGGATAGTGCCACAAGCAGATACTCCTGCGTCGTGTATGGCGGCCGAGATCCTATTCCACTGAAGCTCAGTGTCATTAAAACAAGACTGCGAAAGTTCAGTACGCAGTCTGTCTTGATAGGCTTGCCTGACCGTGGACTGAGACAATTTCTCAGTTGCCAATCGCAGGGGACACTTGGTGCGCCTCTCGGTAAAGTTCATGGATAAACGACAGCGTACCAAGACATGATCAGAGTCGACGCAGGTACTCCAGTACGAGCGACAAACCAGGATGGAACCACGCCATCTGTAACTTATGGCTATGTGGTCAATTTGGGTCCATCGCTGGCCAGCTACAGGATGCCAAGTGGCACTTCGGCGTCCACTGTGTCTAAAAGCAGTGCTACTAAGAAACGACTGGTGCTCCGCACACAGTTGCAGCAGACGCTCGCCGTTGTCAGTCCGTTCGGAGTTAAGTCCATACTTACCACCCAGCTGAGCTTCTGAAGAGCTCAGACGCCCTACTTGTGCGTTCATATCCCCTGCAAGTACTATTATATCTGAACTAGTAGCACTGCGTAATAGCGCGTCCAGTTCGTGATAGAATGTGTCCTTGACAACATCTGAACTGCAGTCGGTGGGAGCAAAAGCGGAAATCACAAACAAACAGCGTTTTGTACTACTTCGTGAATCAACCTTGGCTGATGTCGTCAAACGGGCTGCACATAAACGGCTGTTCACCGGAATCCAATCAACCAACGATGACTCAGCCTTGGAGCTTAGAATGATACCTACACCAGCTTGACCCGTGAGTGCCGCATCGGCGTCTCCGGATGCGTGCAACCAATAACGAGAGGATAAGCCGGGTGCAGTTAATTTACTGACCTCGTTAGGGTCATTGATTCTAGTTTCGGACACACAACACACATCAATACCCAGTGTGTCCAAGGTGCGTGCGAGTGCAGTCTGTTGACCTGTTTGTCTTAGAGTGCGAACGTTGAATGTCGCCATGGAAACGGGATAGCGTGGCCTTATAAGGGACTTTTGCCGATAGGCGTCCGATAGGTGCGGTGTGATGGTGGCTGCAGATGGTTCTACTCCAGTGGCACTTCGGTTGCTGTCAATTAAGCTGGGAATTATAGAAGGAAGGTTAGTAATGGGGGTCGGGATGGGAGTAAGAGAAACAGGTGGAAAAGAAAGAAGGGAGGCGCCAGCAGTAGCATGTTTTCGCTTATCCGCCCTGCTGTATGCAGCAGATAAGGCAACCCTTGATAATCCGCGCGACGGCCGATGCAGGATGAAGTTTATGTTTGAAGAAAAAGTCATGGTTGTATGTGGGCTGAGATACTGCCAGGGCGCCCGGACCTAGACAGGAGGACGATTAGGGTCCTCATTCAAAGCCTTTAGCTCAAAAGCCTGTCCGCAAGGCAGCGGGGAGGTGGCAATGATTTAGTTTTACAGAAATGGACGCCATCCCATTTCAAACCCCCAACCTGGAGGACCAGGAGACTGAGTTTGTCTGACCTCTCACCACTGACCAACCTGGTAGGAGTAGCTCTCAAAGTGCCCGTAGGCACCACCCAGTATAGCTCAATGGGTCAATGAGGTACGCAAACCGTCGCACCACGTTAAGGTCCAGTCTCGTTGCGACTGAGAATGTGTAGCCAGCACCAGCTTCATGCAACGTACCTTGCTCAGCGAGCCGGGTTTCACTGAGCGCCGCATTATCGATGTGGTAGCGCGCCAGCCACATCGCGATGAGTGCAGTGCATCTCTCCGGGCGCTCGCTGGAGTTCCGGTCCGGTAGTGTGCGCACGTTCCAGCACCTGATGCTGTGCTTTGCGCGCAGGCATACGATTGCATTGGTGGGCAATCGCACGCGAGGTGGTCGTTGTGCTTCGGAGGTTTGCTTGAGGGACTCGGCCAGGAGCCTTTGGCTTAATAGCCTGACCCACAAGGCAGTGGGTGATTTAGAGATTTGCTTGAGGGTCTTCTCCCGGAGCCTTTGTTTCAATAGCCTGACCCACAAGGCAGTGGGGAGCAGATCTAGCTCGGGAATGTGATGGCAGGGATAGATTGAGATATACTTGACGGACGTCACACGCAGCCTTTAAGGTACTGGAACGAACCATATATTTGTTTTACGACCGTAGTAGGATACGCACCTGCTACCACGGCCATACGCAGGTGGGTTTTGGCGGGTTTGCACCAATTTGACCAGGGGCTACTTGGCTTGAGGCGGGCAGTAGCAAACCATTGAACATGCGGAGGTGCCCTCCCACCATCAGAGACAATGCGTGACGCTCGTGCTCTACGCCAATCGAGCTGTGAGCTTATAACCCGTAGACCTGTTGTTTCCCATGGCTAGGTGTTACGGGAAGAGACCCATCGACCACTTCCTAACCTCCGAAGAGGATGGATTAGGATACTGGCAGGGCGCCCACTCCTGACAGGAGAACGACTCGGGTCCTCAGCCAAAGCCTTCGATTAAATGAACACCCGAAAGGAAGCGGGTCTAGCACACGGTCAGTTCATTGACTCATGCGGATTGGTGTCCTGGATCTTTGGAGGGAGAAGGGCGAAACCCAACTCCCACCCAGCGGTCGCGACGAGGAGATGCCCAGGACATGAGCCCATGGCACAACAGTCGAAGCAGTGCGTAGATCATCTGTCAGGATCTAGCCACCACCAGCCTGAACGCACCATAGGCTCTCCCGCCATATATATATATATATATATATATATATATATATTGTAATGCGCTTGGAAGGCGTGAGCAGTGCTTACTTGAGCGTAATCAACAGGCAGTGTTTGAACTGCATAAGGATACTCGTTATATGTGTTTAGCGATACCAGATTATCTCGACTTCAACAATTAGTGTCTCCACCACAATTCCGTAACAACAACATACTATTCACCCCAATCAACGAGCAACTGTGGCCTCAGAAGCACACGTACGGACTTACGGTCCATACAACGCAAGTTTCATATACTCGTGTATCAAGGGAGCTTACCAACCGAAAGCTGAGGAACTACTGTTTGACTCAAACAGTATGTTACCCGGATTAGTGTGTTGTATGTATGATCGTTACACAGTAATGTTTCAAAGTTGCGACGTCACTGGCAGTAGGGTAGTAGGTCGTCGCTTGTGACAACCATGAGCTGACACACTCTAATGTTCAAAACCTGTAAGTTTGAAGTTTTACCAAATGAGACATGCACAATTGACCAACCCAACTGAACTTAGCTTTTTAACCACATCCGATCAGTGTATCAGAGCTCTCCTGCACTCGATGTGTGCGGCGCGTAAGGTATGCATAGATGTTGGAACGACGGCCTTGTCCTTAGCCATTTGCGAGTAAAACGGTGAACTCAATGCTTAAGAATAAGTACCTTACCGAACGACTGGAAATGCTCAGTCGTAAAGCCAATACCGAAAGGTGGTAACCCAAGCAAAGTGGATAACTACCGGCCGATCTGCCTGACGGCTGTTTTGGCAAAGAGGCTTGAAAAGATCATGAAGAAGAGTCTTCTGCAACTTCTCGAGTCGGAAAACCTGTTAACCTCCGCACAGCATGGTTTCCTGAAAGGTCGTTCGTGCATCACCAACCTACTGTTGACGAGGCACGAATGGTTACAAGCGCTGAACAAAGGCCAATCGGTTGACGTCATTTACATTGACTTCAGTAAGGCTTTTGACAAGGTTAACCATGCAGTGCTCCTTGACAGACTGAGGATGTGCGGTGTTGGTGGTTCGCTGTACAAATGGATCAGCAATTTCCTTATTGATCGAAAGTGGAGAGTCCAGGTGGACAACCATCTAACAGACTGGTATCCATCGAGCAGCGGCGTGCCCCAAGGCACTGTACTGGGACCGATATTTTTCTAATCCATATAAACGATGTGCCTCAGCTACTACAATCACATTGTGCTTTGTTCGCAGATGACTTGAAAGTGTGGAGAGTAATCCGCACACTCAATGATTGCGATTTACTTCAGCAGGATCTCGACCGCCTCTCAACATGGTCTGCAGAGGTTAACCTTCCGATCAACCCTGCCAAGTCGCAATTCATGAGGTTGGGTAAGTGTGATCACGGCCGAACGTACACAGTGGCTGGACAACCGTTGCATCCCGCTCCTTTCGTGCGCGACCTCGGTGTACTCTCACGCTGCGACCTAAAGTCCATTGACAACACGAATAAGCTGTACCAAAACAGCCTTCGTATGCTTTGGGCTCTCAGGCGCAGCTTTAGCACTTGGTCCGAAGAGATTGCCACTCGCCTCTTCGTCTCGATGATACGACCAATGCTGGAGTACGGCACTCCCGCATACTGTCCCATCACCCGGGGCGAAGTAGAAAAGCTTGAGCGGGTGCAGCATGTAGCAACCAGGCTGATTCCCAACTTACGAGGTATGCCATACGAAGACCGATGTAAGAAACTAGGGTTATACACCCTATCTTATCGTCGGCTGAGGATTGACCTCATCATGACGCACCGGATATTACATCTGGGTGATTACCCCATGTTGAGACAACTACTTCATCTGCGCACACCAAGCTGCACGCGAGGACACCGGTATAAACTTATCGTCCCGGATTTGAAGCGGGTCGCCCATCAACTCTGTTTCGAACGCAGAGTGGTGAATGTCTGGAACGACCTGCCTCAGCATATAGTAGAAGCCAACACAGTGTCTAAATTCAAGATGCTACTAGACCAACAATTTGCAGAGGCAAAGTACAAAGAGCGAAACGATAAATAAAAAGTTCATGTCCGAAAACGACGAATGATGCAGCTACACAGAGCAACCTCTACTCGCTGCTTCGCACCAGTTCTCAGTTCTCAGTTCTCAGTTCTCATGAGACAGCCCAATAGTGAAATATGTCACAAGCAAATTTATGCGCAGGCGCTCTCAGCTTCAAAGTAAACCAAATCTCACATAATTTTGTTAGTGTGAGCCCAAATTCATACTCCAAGATTTCGTTTCCTTTATATTTTTTTAGTTGGTGTGGACTTATACACTAAATTTCCACTAAACTGCCAGCCGGGAAACGTTCTTCTTCCGAATAAGTTCCTTTCGCTTGTGTCCGAGGCATACGTTACGCCAGTGATGCCGGAAATATCTATTGGTTTCGTTGATAAGTCTCCAAACTGCATTGAGGAGAAATCTATTCACTTTGGTAAAAGAGTAAAATGGCCAGTTGTCCCGTCAGATACAATTCAAGAAGCAATTTCAAACTCTAAAAAGATGAAGAAAATGCCGTCCAGCACTTTCAAAGGTGGGCTAACTAAGAGCACACCCAAAAACAAAGCAACTCGAAGCTTAACCCTTGGAAGTTCGAATGAAGACCCGAAGTCTACTTTTACGTGGACCCCAGCAACAGCCCCAAGAGTGCCCTTAATACAGACGTCAATGCTAGACTATATGAAAAACAGTAGCCAGGTGAGTTTATCTGCCTTTACAGGCCAACTATAGCTTGCACATTCGTAATCCCAACATACATAGTCCAAATGCACCTAAGGCGTTCCAATCCATTGTTTTCTCAAGTTGGAAGAATTTCTCTTGTCTATGTGGGTGTATAGTTTGTGCACAACACTTGATATTCAGGAACGTAGAGTGATACGTAGAGTTCACCAGCAGGTAGTTTGATGTAGAAAAGATAGGTTGAAGCAGACAAAATTAATGAGTGGTGTGGATGTGGACAGACAGAACACCACGCAAACTGTATGGCATGCAGCTCATGAAATGCAATGCGATGCACAAAAATATGAGAAAAGGACCGAGCATACGAGATGAAATAACTCAAAGTACGCCCACCGCGGATAGGGTATTTCGTACGATGTCTCACAAGCCGTGCCGCCACTAAGCACAGTGGGTATAAGCGGTAAAACTGTGTGGGACACTCCGATGCTAGTTCCACCTAATATGCGGCCGATGACAATTAGTTGGGAAGGAAGACGTTGACTGCCACCGTCGCCAATGCAAAGAAAGTGGACCGAAGCGGGTAATTTCATGAATGGCTTCGAAATTTTAGTTATTGTCCACAACTTCCTTGAGATGTTGGTGTGAATTAAATGTCTTCATCACAATTAGAAGAGTGTATCTCCTCTTTGTGTACGTAAGGAACTGGAAGTTTGAAAGGACGTTGGTACTGATTTCTCCAAGTCAATGTGTGTCAATCCTATTTGTAGTTTAGTGTCGTTGATTGCTTGTGAATTATAACTTACTCTTCTAGATATACGTCAGCTTATTAACTAGTTTCTGGGAAAATTTGTGAAGTCAAGCTGAGCGGTCTGCCCCACAGCAGTTCGATTCTATATATGTCGCGACGCTTCCAGTAGTTAAAGTATTATCCCTACACAAACTTGACATCTATCAATGAACTCCTAACAACAAAAGCCCTATCTTGTACGTATACAAACGCCCAAGGCCTTCTAAGCAAGTTGGCAGAACTTAGTGAAATCCATGCCTCACAACCGCGGGACCTCGTCATGATTACAGAGACATGGTTAAACCCTGAGATAACCGATTCTGAGATCAATTTACCCGGTATGTCACTGCTTCGGACCGATAGAACCGGAAGGGGGGGCGGTGTGATTCTTTATTATAATACAAACCTCCGATGTGAAGTTATCGACCACCCGGAAATCCGAGCTCCCAATTCGCTTTGGTGCCGCCTATGGTTGCGAAACAAGGACACATGCCTACTAGCCGTGATTTATCGCCCACCAAACTCAACTTCGGAAATGGACTCCAAACTGAACCACGTTTTCCAGTTTGCTTTGAACAAGTCCTACACCCACATTCTTATCGCGGGAGACTTTAAAGTGCATGACATAGAAACGCCGGCAACCGACGGTACGCAGTTTAAAGCCTGCTTGCAAGAGCTTATTGCTAGCCACCCTCTTTACAACCACGTAACCTCTCCCACCAGATTTCGAACTGCTAACAAGCCGTCGATACTGGATCTTGTGCTCACTAACGAAGAACTCATGGTTAGCGGGATAGTTACAAGCACACCACTGGGTCGTAGTGATCATGTTACTCTGCTCTTTGACTATATTTGCTATGCGGAGTACCCTGAAAAGGAGGAGGATAAAGTGCATACTGTCACACACTACAATGTGTTGTCTAAGCTTGTTAAGGATACATCTTGGACTTTCTTAACCGAATGCCCCCCAGATGTTGCCTGGGAAACATTTACAAGGACGTTTAGTACACTGGTAGCGCACGCATCAGAGCAGAAGTCCTTCCAACCTAAAAACAAGCGTAATTCATTTCTGAGGAGCAAGACACGTAAATGTATGTCCCGGAGGGATTTAGCATGGCGAGATCACCAGGACTGCCCGAATGCCGAAACCTGGACTGCATACGTGACCCATCGTAACTTCTGTGTGAAACTGATCCGCGAAGACAAGGTCACTCATCAGCAGAAGTTAATGAAGCGATTCTGCACGAATCGCAAACTCCTGTACAGGCACGTTAACGGCCTTCGAAAGGTAAAGCGAGGGGTTCCAGCACTAGTCACGGCTGATGGGTGCACGCGATCAGCAATGGAAGCAGCTGATCTCCTACGGCTTCATTACTCCCTGAACTTTCCAGGAGGTAACGAGCACAAACATTCTCCTCATTTCTACTACTCCACCATCTGGTTTAGAAAACATCACCTTCACTGCGGAAGCTGTGTTGAAGAAGTTGTTATGCTTGCGTATCCACAGTTCTCCCGGAGCTGACAACATCCGACCAAAGGCTCTACAGGCAGTAGCTAGTGATCTAGCAGCACCACTGGCTATTTTCTATCAGCGATGTCTAGAGGAGAACCGTATTCCACCAGTATGGAAGCGAGGAGTCATCACTCCTATTCATAAAGGAGGTAGCCGCACTGATCCTGCCAACTACCGTCCAATAACACTACTTCCAGTACTATCCAAAGTGATGGAATCAATCATCGCAGATGCGCTGATGGAATACCTGGAAAGCCACAATTTAATAGCCCCAGAGCAACATGGCTTTCGTCAAAAGCATTCGTGTAATACTAACCTATTAATTGCACGTAATAGCTGGACTGAAGCTGTTGATGATGGAGTAGGGGTCGATGTCATCTACCTGGACTTTTCAAAAGCATTTGATCGCTTAAACCATCGCATTCTCCTTCACAAGCTTCGGAATTACGGTATTGGCGACCCAATCCTGAGTTGGATTGACAATTTTCTACAAGAACGACGGCTAGTGGGGAGAGTCCGAGAATCATTGTCTGATGCAATCGATGTGGCGTGCGGAGTACCACAAGGCTCGGTTCTTGGACCTCGTCTATTCTTGGTGTTCATTAACGATTTGGCGAGATCAATTACTTCCGATTTCCTATTTTTCGCTGATGATATCAAGGTATGGCGAAGGATCAGAGGACCGGAAGACCATGAACGGCTCCAGTGTGATCTTAACACAGTGTCGAACTGGTCACTTCAAAACGCCCTACCGTTCAATGTAGACAAATGTCGCGTCGTACAATTACGCCATAGTCATAACTACACCTATTCACTTGGGACCAACGGACTGCAGAATAGCTTCCAGGAACGTGATCTGGGTGTGATCGTACAGAGCGACCTCAACTGTTCAAAACAGGCTGAGGTAGCTGCGAAAAGAGGCAACCAGCACGTCGGCATGCTGCGAAGAGCATTCGGGAGATTTGACCCATCAATCTTCCCAATGATGCACAATTCCTACGTGCGCCCGCATGTTGAATGCGCTATCCAAGCTTGGCAACCTTGGTTGAAGCGTGACCTAGAAGCGATAGAGGCACCACAACGGAGAGCAACAAAAAATGTAAAGCGCCTGCGCCATCACTCTTACCACCGAAGGCTGAAGTTGCTGGGAATTTTCAGCGGGCGCTATCGAAGGCTGCGCGGTGATCTCATATTAGCGTATCAGATACTGAGTGACCCCAACCACGTATGCCGCCATTTGCTGAAACTTAGTCACAACACGCAGCTCAGGGGTAACTGCTTAAAGTTGAAGGAACAATACAGCCGTCTAGAGTGTCGACGGAATTACTTTTCCCTTCGGGTTTGCAAACCTTGGAACGCACTCCCAGACTCAGTTGTATTCTCTCCTACCTTGGATATTTTCAAAAAACGACTAGATGTTGCTCTCAGCTCCCAGCATTTTGTTACCTAAATTACTCTATTGTGGATTACTCCAAGCATGTTTTCAACAGGATTTATGTATCAAATGGATCCAAGTGAGCGACCATATTTTACTTTTCTCACTCCTTACCTCAATGATCACTGCACCCCAGTGTCTTTCTGAACGTTTACGCTCGATAATTTAGTTTAATTTTACATTGATGTTGCTTATCAAACTATTCATCTCGGCAGACGTTCGATAGATGACCCAGACATATTTTGCTTTCATCATATTCACCTCAACCATCCTACGGGACGTGTCAAGCACTTGCTTTTATCCCGTGATAAATCACTTTTCATTGTTCATTGTTCTACAACTAGTAAATATCACTCATGACAACCCACCTGATTGTGCTGATATAAGTAATTGAAAAGGAGCGGGTGCAGGCGTGCGTACCCAAATAGGACACAAATGTATATGAAAGAACCAGGGGAGTTGAATGGCAGATTTCAATTCATCAGCACACCTGACAAACAGGTGACAAACGGAAGCAGGGTTCGGAACATAATCACAGGATTAAACTGGGTACAACTCAGTCGCAACACACTGCACTCCACAGCTGGCTTCACCTCCGGTTGGTGGATTCGCCAGCTAGCGATAGCCGGAGCTGTGAGTGACGTCCAACCGATACTTGAGGCCTTGCCCTTTAGGACACTGGACTCCACCTAGTGGTCGAGACGTCCAACGTCGAACACTACAGGCCGCGTTCAAGTCCCACTCCCAATCCCGAATGGCTCCATTTGAAGGGTCTAAAGAAGAATGAAACATACTGTAGAATACTGTGTTTGTAGCAATCAACACCGAAAACTCTCCACTGCGCATGTGGTTCCAATGGTCCGAATGACCGAAGTGCACGTCAGTGTAACGAACAAGTTGAATTGCAATCGGTTGTCACAACCCAAACACACGGTGGATATTTCAACAGCCCACTGTAATCGCACATAATGCACATGGGCCAGTAAACGAGAGGATAAGGCGCTTGCTTTCTAATCTGAAAGTCCCCGGTTCGAGTCCGTATACGTGCGGCGACCTCGCGGTACCTAACCCACGCGCGGCTGGAGGTCTCTTGGAATCGAAACGTCGGCACAGCGTGCCGCCGCGCTTCTGATATATATAAACAAACCACAGTTTGTGTTATTAAAGAGCTAGCTGAAATTTGCTGAACCCACGAAAATTACCTACGTGCCCAGTTCCATATCCAGTAGCTTTTCGTATAAAAAGTCAGTAAAAATGGGGGCGTAGATGCAAGCTGTCGTTTT